GTTATAGTCATGTATTTTTTCTTGCTTCAATTTAACTAAAAAAATACTTGGATAAAAGGCATTAAAGTTGAAGAGTGGGGGCTCGCTACGTCACAACTACGCAGAAATGTACAAAGATGTGATGTAATGCGCCATTTCAACACATGTATCGCCGTAATTTATTGATTACGTGTCTATGATGATGATGATGATTATTCTTTAATAATCTACCCGACGGACAAACTAACAAAATTTGGGCCCTATTACCAACATGGGCATACCTATACGGTGGGGATCTTGCCCCACTCTCAACCCTAATGAAGCTCTATATGAAGTAACAAAATCAAATATTATTTACACTAAAATATTATAAAGAGGTGTCAGAGGGAACTTTTGTAGGAACTAATCTTCGGAAATACTGAACCAAACATAAAAATTCTTTCATCTGCGGTAAACATCATACGCGGGTGATATCTATACTGATATTATAAAGATTTGATTGTTTGTTTGCATCTAATTGGTTCCGAAACTACACTGGACGGATTTAAAAGTTCTCTTACCTACGGGAAGCTAAATTATACGCGGGTGACAAAAGCTTTAATTTATGCGGGAGAAGTCACGGTTACAGAACAGTTAGTAAGCCATATTTACGCAAGTGAAGTCGAAGGGAAACCGCTAGTATTTATTTTTTGTCAGATCTGACGTGTACGTTTCACGATGGTTCCAATACGTTCTTGCTCTTACTTTTTCATTTAGTACCTACATTACTATATTTTTTCCCCGCGATGAATAGAATAAGAGTTGACACCCTTGTATTATAAACTTTAAAATTTTACGTTAAGGTTTAAATAGAAGTAAACAGAGTTGTTTATCAATTACCTCCTTTAGCGCCCCCAAAGGGTATACTGGAACAAGCACACTTGTAAGTCATGAGTGCAGCTAAAGCTTTCACTTCTTCCAAGTCAACTGCATCAGAAAACCTTATTCCTGAAAAAAAAAAAAACGATGCATTCATTTTAACGACCTGAAAAGGATTTATATGTTCATATAAATTAGGGATTCTCTAAAAAATATAAAGGTCGCTAAAATATACATATCAACATTTCAAGGTGTTGCAATTTCTAAGTTCACGGATTACTGACTGAGTTAAAATAAAAAATTGAAGTATTCTCCATCGTCGTAGGCCTGGGTTCCAACCTTCTTAGGTAAGGGTTCCGTCCGACCTTCCTTACAGGATACAATCCTCGGTCCGCGTGAGGTACACAGGGCTTGAAACCGGTTCAGAATAAACCGTTTTTATTTAGGTAAAACCTATTCTCTTATAATGTTCCGTTCCGGATCGGACCTAAATGCGGAGTGAAATTCGGATGGAATAAAAACCGGCTAATTCGCTTGGTTCGTAAAAAGCAATGTTCTTACGCTTTAAATGCGAATTATATCATTTTTACGCGACGACATTTATCATACCTGTGTACGGATGTTATAGATAGGAGTGTAGGCACTTAAAAACCGCGCTGAAGTTTGTGAGATCATTGTCTGGAGTCATATTTAAACCGGTTAATGAAGAAAACCGTATTTCTAGTGAACTGATTTAAAAACCTGTTCAAAGGAGCTGAACCTTTTATGTAAAGTTCCGCATGTACTTACGTCGAACCGGTTCAACAAAAAAAAAACGGTTTCCAAGCCCTGGAGGTACATTGAAGCAGGTTTTATCAAAGACACCAATCACGTTTTGACATTGCTCCTTGGTGCAGGTCCTTTAGTAGGAGAGCCTCTATTTGATATAATACGGTTTATTTCTCCTGCGTTTACAAACAAAGGCCTAGCTGGTTCTGATATTGTCGTTATTCATTTCCATAGCACAAGCTTTTAGCTTTTGCTACTTCGGATTCTGATCCTTTTCAAGATTTCAATATAGATATACCGTGAACTATATCTTGGTTTGTCCTGCTTTAGCTAACATATTTTTATTGTAATAGGATAGGATAGAGCATGATGAAGTTTTATTATTATTCCAAGTCTGGGTTGACATTTGGCCACAATCTGACCGTAGTTCACCATCATTATCAACCTTTTTACGTCCCCACTGAAGGTGTTCAGGCTTTCCATATGGATAATTAAGGAGGATGGGATATGACTCTCCATACTGACCCAGTGCAGATTGGAGGGTATTAACGATTGCAAATGTAGCCGGGACCAACGGCTTAACGTACCTTCCGAAGCACGGAGTAATTCGAGAAAATAATTTTTTGGTCACCCATCCCGTGAACGACCTTTGCGAAAAATGCTTACAACAACGGTCGCGGGCCCCGGCGCTTATCCACTGCCATAGTAAGAGCATAGTTATCGACATATATATCTCAACTTCATCGTGGTCTGAGCTACGTATATTATGTAATGTTACCCTTCCTCCCTCTGTTAAAGCAGTTATTAAAAAATAATTAACCTCCTTTGCACGGTAAACGGTGTACACTGTGTTGCGAGCGGTAGCCCTGGATGATCTCATACTCTCCTGACTTCCTCTGCAGGGGGAATTCGAACTGCAACGAACTATTACAAGAACCCATAACCTGTCAACACAATAAGTAAATAAACTGTATGGGAGATGTAAATTTTTTCGTAAATATAGGTACAGGGAAGAAAAGGTATATTTAAGCCTATTATGTTTTAAATAACTTTAAAAATGTATAAAGATGTTTAAGTAAAATGACAAAAAAAGAAATAGTTTCTTAATATATTTTTTATTTTATTTTAAGACTGTTTATTTGATATGTCGCAAGAATTTCGCTTGCTTATTAGTTATTTATTTAATACATAATTCACAAATGTACAGGGGCGGACTTAATGCCTTATGCGTTCTCTGCCTGCCAGCCTTTTTGTCGCACGGAATCCAAACAAGAAAAAAGATTTACCTTTAATATACCAGCGACTCTATGCATCCTCTTCTTTTCCGACAAATGAGTATGTTTTTTCAGATATTCTATCAGAGCTGGCTCCACTACACGCACAGCGTTGTGGTAGTAGTACTCGACCATTCTGTAAAAGCTCGGATTCAGATCCGTCGCTATACTCTTTAAGTGTTCTGGTATTTCGTAGTTCCTTACACTTGTTCTAGTTGTGCCAAAACTAGAAGCTAAACACTTTCTCAGAGCAGTCCTTTGTAAAGATAATGACATATTTAAAAATAACAATTAAGGTTTAAAATATTAAATCTGATTAATTCAAATAAACTATGGTTAAATGTGCTGTAGAATATTAAAAACTGATGTCTGATTTTAGCAATAAAATAAATAAAGATTTAGAGACACATTGATTATTAATTAATGTTTTGATCAAAGGTTTTGATTGAACGAACTTTTAATTCAAAGAGTAAATTAAATTATTTATTATATACTCTTTTTGTTTTTAATTTAAAAATTCTTAAAGAGTAGCTAAAATATCCATTATTTTAAAATATAGATAAAAAAAAACGGTGGCCAAAAGTTAAAAAAAATATTGCGAGCTCTGTCATCTGTCATACCATACTATGCAGGTATTTGTATTTTTTTCTACTTAATTAATATGAAAACTGTTTATTGATTTTGATTTATAATACAAAAAAGGAAATAAATTATTTTGTTTATTTTATGTCGAATATAAATCATAATTTGTATAGGAATTAATAAAAAATAAAATAAAATAAATATTTCTTTCTACTTAATTAATGTGATAACTGTTTATTGATTTTGATTTATAATACAAAAAAGGGAATACATTATTTTCTTTATTTTATGTCGAATATAAATCATAATTTCTATAGGAATTAAGAAAAAAAAAATAACTGCTGAAATATATTTTAAAATTTTCTTAATAATATTTTTTTTTTTTTACCAAACCAACATCACATTGCATATATATTTTAAAGTAAAATAACATTCAGACTGATTTCTTTTGTTGTTAATATAATTATTTGTACAAGTATTTTCTATAAATAATGATTGTTTGCTTTTATCAATAAGGTACTCCAATCGTGCTGTATTCAGTTGCAATCAAATTAATATTAAAATAAAAACTCAATCGTACTAATTATGAGTTCCAAATTAAATTAGTAATTATCTACTTTAAAAAATATAGGTATTTCAAGGTATCAAAGTTTGTCTTTTGTATGTCACTCAACTCACTCACAATAAAACACACATACCCGTTCCTCAGAATACTCATTTCGATCTAAAAACAATATTTCATTTATTACTAAATTAGAAAATATAAAATGGCAGTTAAATATGAGATGAATAAATTCTGTCATAACCAAAGTAAAACACACTTATTAAATAAAATTTAGTTACCTGATTTAATTTGAATTATTGAAAATAACTTAGAAAACCTCTGTCCGCCCAAATCACAGTATCATAGTGGATTTGTAATATAAATTTTATAGTTGTTGATTTTTATGTTTCTCAAAGCGTCAAAGCTCACAGGTTGCAGACGATGCTAGGTATTGCTGAAGTGGTGCACATAGCCAATACTGTGCATAACTAAAATATTAACATTTTTGTCAGTGTTTTTTTTTGTATATTTAATAAATGTTTTTTAATTTCTGTAAGAAAAAATAAATTTGGGCTTAATTTGCCGCCCTAGGCTCCAGCCTACTCAGCCTACTATTAAATCCGTCACTGTTTGTACAGTGTATATAGTTCCAAGTATGCAATCAACCTCAGTGGACAAAGAAAAAGTGACGTCACAACTCTGTTAGGGCATGTGGATCATGCAGACCCAGATCTACGACTTTTTACAACCGGGGCAGCAACTAGATATTGTGCCCTTACACCTCCCCCCATACCTCATATATTTTGGCTTATAGATAGTGTAATAAATGTATGATATGTATTGTAATGTAATAAACTAAATTTATGAGTGTAATAGACAAAGTATTTACATGTATTATATCTCGTACGTCCATATAAGTTAGAGTTGGATTTAAATAATTTTCATAAAAGTAAAAATAGACGTTATCTCATAAAAAATAAGTGTATAAATGAAAACACAACTTCAAATTTATAATTTTATTAACTTAAGCTACTTATCAAGTCTGCATATAGGATTATTCTGGACCATTTGTAGGTCCACTTTAGGTCCAACCAAGTCACGAATGTTGTCTAGACCATATTTGATCATAGTAGGCCGTTCTAGAGAAAGTCCCCATGCTATAACGTTCACATCTTCAGGCAGACCCATAGGTAGCAACATCTCAGGTCGGAACAAACCAGAGTTTCCGATTTCTATCCATTTGTCGAGTCCTGGAAATCACCAGTCTATTGTTACTTATAATAGGGTATGCGACCCGGTTGTGGTCAGTGTTTTATTATGACCCAGTTTTAGCCATTTTATGAGTTACTAGGAAGTTAACTTTAACACATCATAGCTGTTAACGCTGTTAGTTTTATATTCTTTCACGTTAAAGTAATATATTTGCCTATGTGTTAGTTAGAGCGCTTTGAAGTTCCAAATGGCCAAAAAGGGGGCATTGACCAAAACCGGGTCTTCTGCCCTAAGAACTGTTTCACTATCATTAGTATAGCAATATGCCTTCTGCTGGAATACAGGTACTTCCGTGGATTTGGTTATGAGCGAGTCAGAATCAAACACGCGAGCCCAGTGCGGATTAGTAAGTGTTACAACTGTAGATGAAGATCAAGCAGATCAATTGTAACATGTCTTTAGTACCGAAGTGTACCGGATAATTTATTTTAAGTTATCCATCATATTTAACGATCAAAATTTTAATGCTGGTACGCCGATCAACGACTGGAATTTTGCCTAAAAAACTTCTAAAGTCGAAATTTTGTATTATTGATTCATTCATTGGCCCAAAGCACCAAAAAGCCATTTTTTTAAGTGTAAGTCCAAATAATTCATGCTGCCCTCCTCCTCCCCCCAAATACAAGAGCCCTACGAATTTGCCTATTTTGTATATATAGACGGGCTTGGCTGTTTTTAGTTGAGAATTGTGAATGTTACCTGAGTGGAACGCGAATATCTCCATGCTGGGTTCTGTATATGGATTGTAGGCCGGTTTGAACTGTAGCCGATCGAAGCCGAGACGACGGAAGAAAGCATCTAAAGTGCCTATAAGGTCAGTCAAGCCTAGCCCTCGACCTGCCACTACGCCCTCCACTTGATGAAACTCGGCCAAATGCGTCGCATCTAATGTCTCGTTTCGGAATACCTAAAAGACATTCAATACATATCATTGAATAATCAAAAGAATGTTCAATACTGTATTAACTGTTTGAGTCTATTAGATTCAACCCGATGAATTTAAATATGTCAAGCTTTCTCAATTGATTTTGAACTCTAAGAACAATGCATTAAGATTTGAATCATGAGGAGAAATGAGTTTTGCATAACCTGACTTGCTGTTGTCTGTATATACTGTATCTAAAATATAGTGTTGAGTACATTTTGATTTAATCCTGGTTTAAGTAAATTGATGCAAGTGTACTTAAGTGGGCCTACAGGTCAATTGGGTGTAAGTGTGCCTTATCTTCCCTATTTTAGTCAAAGGTCCAATAAAAGTTTAATAAGAAAAACATAGATAAACTATATATATGTAAGTACAGTAATAGTAAAACTAATATTGTTCATTAATGTACAGCACAGTAGGCTTAATTTCCACAGTCGCTGCAGATATCGGCCAAACAAAACGATTCAAGTGTGCTATCGCAATCGCCAAGGGCCATCAGACGATCCACGCTGACCCCCGCTGAGTGTGAGTTAGACGGACGAATAATACGTTGTATTTTACGCTTTATGATTATTCAAACAAGACTCATTACAAATTTTATTTTGTGTTATTAATACGTTAACGAAGATTCATCACGTGCCTTATTACGTTTATGATGTTTATAACATGACAAGGGAGGATGATTATAATATACTTACCTTATCAATACTGAAATACTTCTGTGGCGTGAACTCCTTCTGCTGTGCCAGCTTATAGAGCATGCGCGCGCTAACTGCGGTGGTATGCGTTCGCAACAAATTCTTCTGCGCCTCTTCTATCTTCCAATTATAGCGGTAGCCCTGGAGATTAATAATTACAAAGTCATTTCATATTGAATGCTTATTGATAAGAACGATTGTACGAAAAGAGAGTATGAGGGGTCAGTTAGTAGCAAGACAGGGAATATCGAGACAAGTTAGAAGCATTAGGCAGAGTAATTTTGAAGAGATTCCAAAAGATTATTATGAGACATATATGCAGGAAAAGCATAAAGTAATATAATGCCAGATGTAGGCCTCCGTATGTAAGCCTTCATGCACTTGTTAAGGCATGTTTTCATTGGTCCTTATTGATATTGAAGCACTCCCTAGGGTTTTGTAATATAAAAAAAATAATAATGAAATATAAAAAAAATAATAATGAAATATAAAAAAAATAATAATGAAATATAAAATATAATAATAATGAAATATAAAAATACAACTTAATACAGTGTCAGATTTAAAACGCATCATGCGTTTTAAATCTTACATAGCATTTTGCTCGTCATGCTGAGTCTATGCACTTTTATTTAGCAATGTTGTTTGTCAATATTGATCAGTAGTCAAGAACATTTAGTCTTTCAATCTACTTAGTAGACATATTTTATATATGATCTGCCTTGCTTCATGCTTTTCAATGTACAACTATATTCTTCATAAGCAATTCTCACAAACACTTATGTTTTCATAAATAATACATAACATACATAATAAACAACAAGATACACTCCATCTGGAACTTAGTCATGTTGTCTATGATTGCCATCACATGTAAGGTTGTTACAAATGTTACCTAGTGGATAGTTGGCCTTAAGCTCATACAATAGGAATGACTACTAATTTTTGTTTGTTTGTCTGACAGATAGGTTGTAGAGAAATATTAAACACATATTTTGTATTTTTTTGTTAAATTGTGGCGATAAATTTAGTTAAAATGTCACATAGCATCAGATTTTGGTACATTTTCTACAAAACAGTGACGTAGCAAGCCACCAACTTTAATGTCTGTTATCTATGTTTTGTTAAATCGTAGTAGAAACAAATATGTTTCTCTTATTTTCTATTATCTGACTGATGGACTAAATAAATTTATTTTTAATCCAGTTGTCATCCCTATTACTAATTATAAGTCTGCATTATAGATACCTGAGAACCATAGCCACCTTCACTGTGGACTCTTTTAACCCTTTCCAAGTAGTCCATAGGAAAATTTGTAGTGGTGGGAGGACTCAGCATGAAGAAGGTATCATGAGCATCCCTAGCTGGATGTTGTTGAGGTTGGAAAAGAGCATCGAAATTCCAGAAGGAACTCTCAATATATTGGTTAGTTGGCATTTCAGTGAAACCCATCTCTAAAAAGATCTCCCTGAATTCAGAACGAACTTTCAATAGAGGATGCAGGTGCCCGCATTCAGGTGGTTGTCCTGTTGTAAGGAAATTTTATTGAGATCAATAAATTTTGTATGTTCAAAAGATGCTTTCATAAGCAGCAAATAATTTTAATCATGAAACAATATTGACCATATAAATAGTGACTGTGAGTTTCAAAAGTAAAAACCGGCAGCGCCAGCTAACAACTATGACATGAAATTTTTGTAAACTAGATTTCAATATTAAAGAAATCCTCAAATAGGCATGTTAAATGAATTGATTATGGGCACCGATGAGTACAAAATAATATGATTCAAGAAATAAGATTATGTGTACAATCATATTAGTATGCAAAACCATTTAATCAAATAATGTAGCTTTGCCCAATCCATGTTTCATGGGTGGATGGGTGAATGGTTTGATAATAATGTTGAATTGAATTCACTCAAAAACAGCTTTTAATTGCATATGCTAGTTATGTAGTATTGCACTATGCAGTAGTGGAGCTAAAGAGGTTTAGTTTTCATTTGAACAAGAGAAAAAGCAAGCAATAAATATCATACCTAACGCATCAAAGTTGTATGGTTTGAACTGCAATGTTTTCCATGATCCAGTTAGTAACATTTCAGTTGTTAAATCTGTTTCTAGCTTCTTGATTGTAGTAGCAAATTGTGGCCCTTTTGAAAGCAAGAAACTCTTAACCGTAACTTCTTGGAGTAGTTTCCGCTTCTTGTAATCATTCCTAATATTGGCAGGTAGATTATCAATGCCTTTTTTAATTTCAATTAAATGCTCTTGTACTGTATCGGTAATGGTTTCAACTTTACGTTTGACAAGTGGTGCTCCACCTGATTTATCTATTAATATCCATCCTGATGACATTGCTTTGCTGAAACCAACTTTTGCATTTGGTCCACTCTGTAAATATAATAAGTTTTTATTTCTATATTTAATTTCAATTTAAGATACTTTGAAAACATAAATATACTTTGTAATTAATATATTTTGATTAATTTAGTATTCACAGTGACATATTCATATTATTCTGATAGAAAAATAGTAAAAATATCAACAGACCCAAGTGACAGATGTCTAGAAAAATATTTCTATTGGGAATCCACTATATACCTGTAGGATGCATGACCTTTGCATGTAAGTCACAGTTATGATTTTCAGATACTTTTTGAAAGATTATTATTTACCTTCAAGAGTTCAGCTTGTGTTATACCAGAGTCTGGAACATTCCGGTATAGAACAGCTTCATGGCTGCCATTGGTAGCTACCGACTGACCTTCTTCAGTCAGCTCCCATCGGGTATTTTTTACAGCCTCTGAAGTGACCATCTCAAGTGCTTCTAAACTTTTCACTGCTCCTACTATTTTCTGATGGTCTTCATTATATTCTCTAGCTAATTGTAAAGTGTCTACTGTATTACTTTTTTCAAGTCTATGTAAAATCCTTTCGTTTAATTCCATTTTTGTAAAATAATTTAAATAAATTAAGTTTCTTTAGGTTATAGTTATGACAGCAACACACAGACTTAGTAGGTACACACGACAATGCCAGTGTTGCGTAATAACGATAACTTATCGATATTAAATATCGATTCAGTCAATTGAATTATCGATACGGTTATAAAATCCAGTGTTGGAGATACTATATTTGGAAAAGGATTGTAGCGTTTCACATTTACCTTTGATCTATAATTATTTCAATACTAGGTATAACACGTTATGGCATTAAACACACAATAATATGAGACTATAATATTAGCTTGGAATAGTTGGAATCGAATTGTTTATTGATTTGATAGTATTTTATTCTAAGTAGAATGATTCTGAGAATTATTCATTTAAAGTGTCCGTCATGTTGGCAGCGCAAGCCTTTTGGATTTTGAAATGAATTCTTTCCCATTTAGTCCCTTATTTATCAGACCATTCCGAAATAGGGACAAATAGCCAAGTTACGTTGTTTCGTAGATAATTGAGTCTGAGCTGACGTCATTTCATCAAGACCATGATTTTGTACTATGTTGCTTTATGTCATTTCCGTATGAATTCATTAAACATTAAGTGGAATAAAGAATCATGTCGTAAGAATCATACGTTGATTAAGTTGTCGTAAGACCTACCGCATGTTTTTTTAAAGGCCGTGTCTATCTACCATTAGTGATAAATTAAATTGTTTTTGTTTAAAATAGTTTAATAGATAATAATATTTTAACATTTTTTTTATTTGGGGGCCAGGAAGACTCTTAGTTCGTATTATCACAGTAAAATAGTGGTCAAAACTCGAAACAATCGTGCAGCTACATTAAAAGTTAATGCATTCAGATCAAAGGTATAAATTTAAGTGTAATTGCACTGTTAATGTGCACTTTTTACCTTATGACGAAAAAATATTTTTTCCGTGGTAGTAGCACACCGTCATTGGGTCCGAATTGCATTGGGCTAGTGTAGCAAATCGTCATTTTAGGGTCAGAATCGCATTCGGGTAGTTATAGTACTACTTAAAAATAATTATCAGCCTCGCAATTTTTATCCTGACTTTATTTTAAGGTTTAATTTCCTGTAAGATAAGATTTAATATCAAGTAAAAAAAGAAGCTATTTTTTTTAAATATATCACATCACTAGACGCGTTTATAATTTTTTAGGTCAAATTTGGACATGATTCTTTAATTGATATTGATATTCTGTAAGGGATATATGGTGCAACACGACGGATATAAAAGTTATAAAACTTTGGACCCAATTAAACATCGGTGCAGCACTGCTCGTAGTACTCGTCTTGCGTGCGTGCGCGCGCGTACACACCCCATGAGTATTTTTCTCTTTGCCCATGAGTATTACACCCACGTACACCAAGAATTTAAATAACTTTCTTGATGCTCACTTTTAACAAGTTTTTGGTGTAGTCTATAAAAAAACCTCTATGATGTCTTCCTAACATATTAATGCACTCTTGGGTCCTAATCCAAGAACCTGTATAATCATTACATCCACATTTCAATGGTCAATCTATAAAACAATAAATATTTTCGATAACACCAAGATAATGCACGATATGGACACTTATACACTTTTTACAGTAGGTATGATAGGACTTGATAATTTTATAATTACTATACATACCTATTGATATACTTTTATGACGCAATTGAATTTATTCACTATTTTCAATGAAAATGTCTGTTGAACTATTTAAATAGGTAAATAAAAAACATCGATTTTTTAATATACAGGCAGCCTTTATTTAAAATAATACATAACATATAACAAATAGTTTAATCAGGTTATTAGATACAGTTAATATGAACTTCATGTTAGTATGCTGCCCTTTAAGCAAAAATAAGTAATGTATCTATATGTACCTAAATAAGATCTTAATTATTTTTCTATAATGAATCTCATATATAAAATATATTTATAAAAAATCAAAATTATAATTAAATATTTGCAAGTCTTTGGATTTAATGGAATGCAATCATTCTGTTTACTTACTTTATATTAGGAAAATATAAAGGCACTATAAAGTTTCCTTTTTAATACAAAAATATGATCTAGCTAGGCTGATCGCTTATATTGAAGAGACTAGTGCAGTGAGCGGGCAACAGTTATAACCGTGCTATTATTAATTGCACTTAATTTAATTAGACATACTTTTAAGATAGTTAATGATCATTGCATATATGTTTGCAGATATTAATTTACATTAAAAAATATATCCAATGCCACTCACCAATTCAATGAACCATAGTATAGTATAGTATAGCTTGTACCTTAACTCGTAGTTACATTATAATATTAATGTCGGAATTATAAGTAATGGGTAGAGTAAAATAAAATAAAAATATTGTTATATCAATTTTGAATTCACAATGTTATATCTTAAATGAAAAATATTAAAACATTGTTTTATGTAACCAATATAAATGCAAATTGTTGTTAATTTTCGTGTTTTGATTGTGTGTTAACCAAAATATGAAAATTAACGTGTATATAAATAATTATATTAGAGAAGAGAAATATTAGTTGGAATGTTAGCTTGAATGATTTTAATGTTTCATGTCCATGATTTCGAAGGTGGTGTTGTTCTCTTGTAGTTTCTTTATAAGATTGGTTTTGGCGAAAGCTGTTCCAGTAGTTAGAACTCCACCGCTATAAAAAAAAACAAAACCATAGATAATGGCACAGTTTATAGAATAACACAATGTTTTCCGGTACTAAATATATACTACTAGTGGATCCAAATCCATACTCTTTGGCAAGCTGGGCGAAGAAAGCTACTCGACCTTTTTAAGTCTGTCCAATATTTCAAGTATACTTGATTGCTATTTTCACTGCTTGTAAACGCACTTCAATCTATGGTCGGGCCATTAACAGAAACAGCCGAAAGAAATATTTATATCTCTAAGGCCCCGGTTTCGATTCCCGGTCGAGTCAATGTAGATAATGGATTTTTCTATATTGTCTCGAGTCTGGGAATTGTGGTTCGTTCCTTACCTTCCTTGATTAAAATACTCTATAATACAGGTGCTTTAGCCACATACTTTGGAATACGAGCAATATATGTTATCTTGTCTATTTTTTTTTAATAGCATGATCACATAACTAAAGCACGCGTATTATTCTGCGGTATACTTATCCAGTACTTGACACAATTATCCGTGGTCAAGAGGCTACAAATTGTTGTCCTCTTTAAGTGTCGATTGTATCAATGCAGAAAAATGTTCTGTACTATGTCTATTATGCTTCCTTCATTTTGGGTTTCGATAACACAAGGGTTTGGACTGGATATTATGTCTAATAATTATAGATTTCAATGCAAAAAGTAATAAAAGATACTCACGATTCCGGCAACAAGTGTTTTTCCGTCAAGATCGTGTGCGCACACATCAGGAGTGCTGTCGTAGTAAATCCATAGCCAGGATCTAAGCCTGATACCTATATATTTCAAATAATTAATTAACTTTTTTTTGTAATATATTTAGATATATATTAAGTTAATAATGGTAACACAATGGCGTCCCCAATTAATTGTAATTTGCCATAGTAATATCTACCTAAATGAAGCCCATATTAATGCAATGTCTTCTTTATAAATCAACGGTTACACAGATATTTTGTTATTTTGTGATCTGTTATCATTGAAGCGCCATTGACTCGCCATTATGTTAATATAAGAATTAGAAAACTGCATGTTTAATCTTAAACGCAACCGCGATCGATAGACATTGCAATCGTGACGAAGAAGTAAGCCTGTTAGATAGGCTATATAGCAGGGGTGGCCAACTTGTTTAGATCCAAGATCGACTTTTCACTGACGACACCCAGAACGATCTACCAATTACTTTACTTTTTAAGATCTTAAACGAAACAGCATAGTTCGTACACTATGTATTTATATTTTTTGAATTGCCACGATCGACTGGACTAATAGTCGCGATCGATTGGTTGGCCACCCCATGCTATATTGTATCGATAAGGCACGTGCCTTAGGGACGTCCCTAGCGTTGAATAAATTTGACAACACTAGATGTCAATAGGGATGATGACTAATTTTTGTTTGTTTGTCTGTCTGGTAGAGTGTTAAAAAATATGAAACACATATTTTTTTATTTTTTTCATAATCATAAAATTACGTCTTTACATTGAGTTGAAATTTCGCATGACGTTACGTTCTCCGAGCCCCCACTCCTCAACTTTAATGCCTGTTATCTAAGCTATTTCTTGTTAAATTAAAGTAAAAAAAAAATACGTATTTAATATTTTTCTATTATCTGACTGACGGACTAAATAGAATTGCATTTTTTTTACCCAGTCATCATCCCTATTTGTCAGTGAGCACACGTCAGTCTGATAGGAAAGAGAGAGTATAGTATTAGATATACCTTGGCGACGAGTGTGCGGTCAGGAGTTGTGGATTCCACGTCAGCTCCTGGCGCCCACCCGCGCCCCACCAGCTCTACATTGAAACGTGTGTTCTTGCGGACCTGGAGACAATTACCATAACTTACCACTGAGGCTGGAGCGGATTTAGCCTTGAACCAAACGGGCTAAGGTCCGGAGCTAAAGCTGAAGCCGGTGCAAGCGACATCTACTGATATTATAAAGGGAAATGTCTGTTTGTTTGCAACGAATAGACTCTGAAACTACTGCCCTGCGATTCTGTGAAATTACAAACCCGAATTCGAATTCACTCGAGGTGTCTGAATTCACTTCGAAAAGTGGCATCAGCTCTATCTTGTATTATTAATGACGTTTCGTGGCATAAGTGAAGTGAATTTCGAAATTACATAGCAATAGAATATCTGAGACACGTATAATCAATCAATTTTATTTTGTATTTTTATACAGAAAATGGAATGTCTTTCTTCACTAAATAACGTGAATTCGTGGACATGAATGAGTTCGAATTTTGGTTAGGATTTTTACAGAATCGCAGAGCTGGACCGAGTTTAAAAAATCTTTAACCTACAAGAGGCTATATCATATCTTATTCTTTAAAAAAAAAACCCGCAAATAACATGTCGTCTAAAGTGCTTAAAAAATCCACTTTGTCCTTGGCACTTTGGGATGGATATAGCATTTTTGACAGTTAAAAATCACCTTATAAAAATATTTTTACAAAATCTGCATATTCCCTATTACTACAATAAATCTATTTAAAGTAAATCTAAACTTTAAACCTAAGGTTTTCCTTGAAAGCTAATTGTAAGTAACATACATACATATAAACTTTGACATTAATATTAGTAGGATTAAAAAATAAATGCGTACCACGTCCTTTGGCCCTTGTTTACTGACGAATCCCAATGAGAATATCCTCGGATGGTTCAAAAGCAGCTGTCTGGTGAACTTGGTTTTTGTCATCAGGAACAGTACCGAACCCATCAGCACGAGAAGGAATACATACAGCAAGCTCGTTAAGTGAACGTAAGCCCTGAACTGTATGGGCCGCTTCTTCTCTCTCTCATATAGCGTACGTTGAGTGCGATACACTATGGAATTATCAGCTCCCATGAACGGTATACACCAACCGTTCTTGTATTTATGGATGAAAGACCTGAGAAATAATATGACCAGATGGATATCGAAAGATCAAAAATCATTTTAATCATAATGTGACTTGTATTGCGGCTATGTTATAATAAGGTTTTTTACTCTGTTTGAATTATACTTGTAACTGTTTATTTTAATTTAAAAATGCCATAAAATAATTCGAAATAAAATAAACACGTTTTCTTGCCTTAAAATGAAATCGAAATTAAAACTTTTTTTATACCCGTGGAACGCTGGCCGTCATATTCATGACTTCATTCTGATATGTACACAAAACATATGCATAGAGTAGAAGCTTAAAGGATGTCAATAAAATAAGAACAATGCCATCTAACGTTCGATTACGAAATAAAAAGATATAAAAAGGTTAAGAACAGCGCTCATCACAGCTGTCGCCACAGTGACGGCACAAAATGGCGGGTCCTGTTTCAGGCCACACTGATAAAAATCACCATTTTTTATTTTCATTTAAATTTTAGTTTTTGTGCAATTTACTGTTTTAATATTGTAAAAAAGGTACATTGTTAATTATTTACCCTATTAATGTTTTAATATAGTAAAAGAGATACTTTTAATTATTAGACTTATATCAATAGCCAAATATATGGAACGATGGAAATTACTCCACCGGCATGAGTATCACTATGTTGTGTTATGTTATAAATACATTATATTTTAATAGTATTATGTTATGAAATTTAATTGTATTATTATCTTTAAGTAATCTAATGGATTAACATATTAAATAAGGGTAAATATTCTTATTTATTTATTTTTGTATAAAAAGAAGTGGCTTGATCTAAACGGACTAGAACGGTCGAGCGTGTAAATCTGATTCTGGTCGAAACTCACCTATGTTGCAATTTTGGCTTGAAAGTGGGCATGCGCTCTGGATACAATTTCTTTCGTAGAGCTCCTAATTCATTCCAGCGAGACAAACTGGAACAATTTAAATAATAAGAAGGATGGTTGCATCAGTCTCATACATGCATCTAAGAATACATTTTCAGTTGGATTTTTTTTAAGGTTTTACAAGTTTATTATTTTTCTTGCTTTTGAATATATAAGGTTTTCTTTCTGCCTAAGGCTGGTTTAAAGACAAAAGACTGTCCCTATCTATACATTCCATTGAACAATGAGATAGGAACCTTTACAAGGCCTGGGGTGAGACCACCTAACTCTCTAGTCATAGGATACGACATCTTATCGAATATTATGACGAAACAATTAAACGAAAAGTTTCATTTTACTACACTGACATGTTTTTAGGGGAAAAATTTGGGATGATAATAATATGTTTCACTACAGACAACACAGGACAGAAAAAGAATTACACAGCGAGAGAAAGAAAGAAATAGTAGGCAAAAGGCGGTTTTATTGCTAGATACCAATCCTGGTAACCTATGAACGAAAATAAATAAATAAATCTCGGGAAATAATATGCTGGGATGAGTGCAACATGTAAAATAGATAATAGGTAGGTATATCTTAAATAATAAAAGGTTATAAAAGTAAAGTAGAAAAAAGTTCAAGATATGAAAAGAAAATATTTTTTGACTTGATCGCAAAGAGTTCTCAGTGAGTGAGTATTCCTGACGTTTTCTGGTGAGGAGTTCCACTTGTATAGAAAAGGAGAAAGTAAAGAAATCAATACCCGATTTTTATTAATTATATCTTTTTATATATTTTCTTATATACAAACCTTGTCATGACAATTAGGAATGCACAAAAAAAGAATCATTAAATTTGGTTTTTTGGAAGTTTAGCGCGTACATACATTTTGGCGATTATTTTTTGTTTAGGCATATATAAATATAGATACTTATTAAATTACATGTCGAAACAGGAAACTGAAACGAATAACATCGCTATGATGTCATATCCTATGGCTAGAGGAGTTGGGCGGTCGCTCTGCAGGTCATAGGATGGTTTTTAGGGTTCCGTACCCAAAGAGTAAAACGTGAACCCTATTACTAAGACTTTGCTGTCTGTCTGTCCGTTTGTCACCAGGCTGTATCGCATGTGAACCGTGAAAGGTAGACCGTTGAAATTCACAGATAATCTATTTTAATTAAAAAAAAATACTAAAAAACAGAATAAATAAAGGTTCCATACGGTTCCATCCGGTATGGCACCCTTTGTGCGCGAGTCCGACTTACACTTGGCCGGTTTTTTGTATTTTTTTGTCCGCAATCAGATTTAATTCTATAAATAGATGTTTTCTCAGTTTCTTGTAAGGTCGAGTGTGCCCCCTAACGAGAGCATCTACTCATGTGCATGTATCATATAGATGGGTGTACTAGAAGGATATCCTTTCGTTTCAGGAATTTTGTAGAATGTCGCATAATTCGACAGCAAGTTCATTTGGGTGCGTTTGTAGACGTGCTTGATATTTTTTAGACGAAGCGTGTTTTGTTCTTTGCAGTACTTATTTTAAGTTGTTGGAAAAAATCATAGTTGGTTAGTTAGCCATGGTGCTCTGTCATCATCACCATCGATACATATCATGGCCTAATATCTCAATTAGATTCAATTTCATCCATAGGGAAGGCCTATGTCCCACGAGTGGGGACATTATCAATATGTAGTATAAAACAAAGTAGCTTACCGTCGTCTGTATGCTTTGATCTTTAAAATTACGCAGCGGATTTTGATGCAGTTTTTTTAAATGGAAAGGGTGATTCAAAATGAGGGTTTTTTGTATAAGACAGCACCACGTGGGCGAAGTCATTGGCGGGAAGCTAGTAAGCTGTATATAAGATAGCCCTATAGGAGAGGAAATGGAAGATAAATCATGTTTTGAGATTGTAAAATATGAATTGTGAAAAATATGTTAAACGTCTTGATATCATGTAGGTATTGCACTTTGGATTGAATTGATTAAATGATAATTGCCGGAATGATAATTGCAGTGTCCTTAATGCGCAAGATTAGATAGTACAATTTATTAATAGTGAAAAATGTGCGAAGCGAAAAGGAGGATATGATATTGGCCAGTATGTACTTATGTAATAACGTTCGTCTGTTCACTTATAACTTTTTAATTTGAGGTTACGTTAAATTGGCAACAGTGCCCTCTAGAGAGCATAAACTAAGAAACAAAAAAATATATATTATTCAATAATTCCGTGTATATATATATTGACAGCTCTTACTTGCAATTTTGCTTAAATACACCCGAAAAATAACAAAAAAAGAAATAAGTTCAAATCTAAAACTCGACTTCGGCTAAATCACACTCTAAAAAGTTTGAAGCAAGAAATTTATTTTATAGCGATAGTTATAATAGCGATGACCAAAAGAATACGTAGTCGTATGCCACAACAGTTTATGTTATGTTCAATGGCAAATGACTACGCTGTCCTTTGGTCACCGCTATTATAATTTACTACCTTTCCGCTATTATACATAAAAACCTTCCTTATGGATTCATATAGGGTGATTACCGTATCTATGAAAAAAAACCGCATCAAAATCCGTTGCGTAGTTTTACAGATTTAAGCATGTATCCTATGCAAGATGGGTATGTATCCCAGATAGCAATTTAAACTTGTTGTTCTTTTTTGACATATCAATCTTGTTGCTGACTTGCAAAAAGTTTGATACGTCAAAAAAGGAAGACTTGCTTCAAGTTAGCATGCTATCTGGGTAGGGACATAGCGACAGAGAAAGTGACTTTGTTTTATACTATGTAGTGATACGGTTTGGGAGAATAATGGAGAACTTTATATTTGACCTTTGGCCTTCGTTTTTTTACAGAAGTAGGATCGACGGGGATTTTTGATATTTGATTAGTTATGGTTTATCAAACATCAATTGTTTATTATATCAATTTTCAGCGCTAAGCGAATTAATTTTTATTTGACTGGACTTTTTGTGCGCCTATATACAAAATAAAAGTCTTTGAACTCAATTTTAATTTTTACCTATTTGGAGCTCTACAGTCTAAACACGGAAATATATAGAGCGAGACGGCTGTACATCGTATGACATTTCAATCGAATTAATTGAACATTGTGACACCATCTACCCGAAGATAGAAAAATAAAAGTATTTTGTCTACAAAAGTAACAAGGGTATTACTTATAGATATAAACTTAATTAGTTTTAAAATAAAGACGAATTCCAAAAGCATACCCGCAGACCGCTGATTCCCAAGTTCCATAGTTGATGACACCTCGTTCGCGCACATCTTTAGAGTACTCTGGTGGTAACTCCGAGCTCATATAGGACTCCACTGAATTCACTGTTCCTGGTAGTGACAGATTGTTTAAATAATAGCCGTTATATAAAATTTTTCTTTTTTTTTAGTAGCTCGCTCGATTAGTGGATAAGCGCCCGTGGCCCACGATCGTTGTTGTTAAGCAACCTTCACAAGGGTCGATCACGGGATGGGTGACTAAAATATTATTATCTTGAGCTACTCCGTGCTTTGGAAGGTACGTTAAGCCGTTGGTCCCGACTGTACCTATTTGCAGTCGATAATACCTTCCATTGGTCCATCGTAGAGGGTCATGGCCCATCCTCCTTAACCATCCGCAAGGAAGGTCTGAGTCCTTGCAGTGGGGACGTAAAAGGGCTGATGATGAAATAAAATATTAAAAGCCGCGACGTAAATAAAATATTTTAATTACTTCTACTTTTTGCTATATAAGATTTATTAGGCTCACAAAACTGTTTTACAATTATCACATTAATACATAAGATTTGCATCTTAAATATTACATTTAAACTTATACGATGTAAGCACAACATGCATAAGCATGTTAACATCATGGAAGTCAATATTCTTACAGGAATAGATGGATTATTTACTATTCAAGAGACATTTCATATAACGAATTTAAAGTGTTTGAGTGAATAAAAGTAAGTTTTTATAAAAATAAATCTCTTGAGGCCTTTTTTGCTGCGGCCACATAACCATTAAAGATATAATATATTAAAGATTCAATTAGACACATTATCTCTTTATAATATCACAAGCTTATTAATGTCCCCATTGCTGGGGACAGGCTTTCCCTATGGAATCTTCTATTTCATAATATAGGGAGAATGGGCGATGACCCACCACGTGGTCCTATTGCGAGTTGGTGGGTGTTATTAACGTCTGCAGATGCAGACGGGATCAAATCTTTCGTAGCACGGAAAGGCTCGAGGAATAATTAAATATTTATTCTGCTTTTAGCACATATTGTTATAGCGGAATGATGGCGAAGATTGCATTAAAATCACTGAGATTATCGGTTACTGACACATTTTTAGGGATCTCCTATCCGTCCGTCCTTTGCCAGGCTGTATCTCATAAACCCCGATAGTTAGACAGTTGAAATTTTAACAGATAGATCTCTTGCCGCTATAACAACAAATACTAAAAACCAGAATAAAAGTATTTAATGGGTATCCCTTACAACAAACGTGATATTTTTGCTAGTTTCCGGTAGAGACCTTTCGTGCGCGAGTCCGACTCAGGCCCGGATCTACGATTTTTTTTAAACGGGACACCTCATGCTCCGTGAAGCCAGATTTTATATTATGATTTTCTTTTTATTTCATTTAGGGATTTCCAAGCATGTCTGTTCCAACATAGTCTATAATATGCATGAAGAGATTCGTAAAGTAAATAGGTATTAAATAATGATGATTTTGGCGCCCTCTAACACTGACGCCCAAGGCGAGATGCCCTACTTGACCCCTACCCACCCCTAGATCCGGGCCTGGTCCGACTCGTACTTGGCTTGTTTTTTATTATACAGGTCCAAAAACTGAATGTCAAGCCGAAACAGAGTGACAGGATTGATTGTAATCATCAAGAGAAAAGTCAGCAAAAAATGATATCCCATGCAGTTTGTTAATTATGGGCATTTAAGAAAAACCTAGAAATTTGATCAAACTTTTTGGTCACCATTTATCGGTTATTGTGGTCAATTTTTATTATTTTTGTTCATTTAAATTTTGGAATAGTAACCCTTAATAACATTTCTAGAATCACAGTCAAAAATAATGAAACAATTGCCCCAAGATTCCTAGAATTAAGACTATTTGTTAAACTATGAATTTTAAATTTTCAGTATTTGTCAACTTTCAAAAGCTCTCCCTTAAAAAAAAGGATTTGAGTGCATTGACAAATGCCAGTAAAAGTTAGCGCATTTAAACAGGATTTTAAAATGGCATAATACTTGTTAGTTTCATACTAAAAAAAAAACTAGTAAAAAAATAAATCCTTAAGTAACCCGATATTTGCTAACCTACTTTACTCAGTTAAAATATTTGATTCGCACAAGCTCTTGGTAGATTCTTAATTTTACAGCAAAATGATAAGAGAAATGGATAGTGGACATGTTTGCCATGAGTGAGCGAGACAGACAGTGACGCCACTTTTACTAAAGTCAACAAAAGTAAGTAAAATTATAAAATAATGAAAAATCTTGACCTAGTTTAGGTTGTTGTTGTAATATTTATTACAACAAGGGAAATAATCTTTTTTATTACAACAAACGATTATTTATTATGTATTAGTCGGGCATATCTTCGACTGTTGGTGTTATCAGCAGCTCGAGCAATTCGTATACGCAGCTCGGCTACGCTCTCAATGGACTTTGAATAAACTTTTTTTTGAGAGCGTCCCAAAAAAACCAGGCCGTTCAAATCTGGGGAACGGGCTGACCACGAGATAGCTTGAACGTCCAATCCACCTTCTCGGATATTCCTGGACAAGGAAATCTCTTACTTGCACTGCGTAATGCACTGGGCAGCCATCTCGTTGATATCACATGTGGCGACGATCTGTCAGTGGTACATCCTCTAACAAATTTGGTAAATTTTCTCGTAAAATATGTAGGTAATTCGTGCCATTCAAGTTCTCAGGCAGCTCAAAAGACCCAACAATTTTGGCGTTTAAAATTCCAGTCCACAGGTTTGCTTAAAAGCGATACTGGGATCTGTCTTCTCGCATTAAATGTGGATTCTCCACATGCCGCTCGTGAAAATTGTGTAAGTTTAAGTAACCATCTTTTTTAAATATAATTTCATCTTACAAGAGAATTTTTGGGATGAATTGGGGAATTTCATTATGCCCCTGTAGCATTGTTCTATAAAATAAAATCCTTTCAGGATAATCTCCAGGGAGAAGACTCTTTTTACATGAAACGGATGCATTCCGGCTCTTTGTAGAATACGATGTGCTGTGCTTTTGAGTATTCCCGTTCTTTCTTCACTTTCCACGAATGGAAACACTTGAGTCATTTGCGACCTCTTGCAACACCTCTCCCTCGCAAGGAAAGCGAGGTCTACCTCCAGCCCGTATTTGATTAAGGAAATGGCCGCCCTTCCTGAGTGAACGGGTCGCATTAACAAACACGCGGTATTCCGGATAGCGCTCTAAATTTGGATATCTTTCATATCGATAAAGTCTAGCGGCGGCACTTGCGTTGCATCTGCATTCCCATAAATGAGTTGCAGGTTTGCATATTCTTGTAAAGTGTAGCGCGTAGGCATGGCTTATATAAGTTTATGCAAGGATGTCAACACAAAAGTCCAATTCCAAAAGAAATAAGTCAAAGTTGCCGGTATGTAACCAGCAAGTCCAATTCACAATGCAATACATAATATTATTGAATATTTTTATTTTATTTATTATAGACATTTGCACACCTTATTCAAATGTCTCTTTTTCCTTTTTTGCATTTATAAATTTTTTGTCATGTCATGTCATGTCAAGGTAAAGTCAAGGTAAAATGTGGAGGAGCAAAAAATTTATCTAACTACATTTATGCAAATAAATTATTAACAATTACAAAAATTAAGAACCTAAAAAGAGCTTGTGCGAATCAAAAAATTTAACTGAGTAAAAAGGGTTAGCAAATATCGGGCTATTTTTTTTTTTTTTTTTTTTTTTGTTTTGTTTATCATGCAATCAGTCTTTCTGACTATGAGCAGATGTGTTTGGAGTTATTGTCAATGCAGAGATGATCCCCAGCAGGAGCATTCTCTATATTTATATCGACTTAGTGCTCAGTCATTGTTGTTAAGGTTCAATGTTCTGCGTCGCTTAAGGCGATTTAGTGCATCAGGTAAGGTCAGCTGGACTGCAAGCTGATTGGGATGGCGGCCTAGTCTTTGTTTGTATTTGCCTGCGAATGTCTGAATTTCCTTCTTCACTGTGGGCATCTCAAGGAATTCGTGAATTTCATTATTTCGAATAAACCACGGTGCATTACTGATTTGCCTCAAAATGTAGTTCTGGGCAGTTTGAATTTTATTTATGTTAGAATTGCATGTGGCTCCCCAAACTTGGATACCATGTGTCCAGACCGGTTTTATGACGGTTTTGTAAATGAGTAGCTTGTTATCCAAGCTCAGTTTTGCGTTTCTGCCAAGTAGCCAGTATAAACCTTTGTACTTTAGATTAATTTCCTTGCGTTTCATTTCAATGTGTTTTCGCCATGTTAATCTGCGGTCCAAGTGAAGTCCAAGATATTTCACTGTATCGCTTTGAGGCAGCACCCTACCACCCAGGTTTACTGGAGGACAAGTTTCTCTTCTCAATGTGAATGTGACCTGCAACGATTTGTTAGCACTCACTTTGATTCTCCATTTGTCGAACCAGTCATTTATTTGGGAAATGCTTTGTTGAAGTTTTGCAGTAGCATCTGTTGGATCCTTACTAGAGGCTAATATGGCAGTATCGTCTGCGTAGGTTGCGTATGTGACTCCGTGTATGTGCGGCAAATCTGACGTGAATATCGTGTACAGGACCGGCCCAAGTACAGATCCTTGTGGCACTCCAGCTGTTATCTCATAGAAGCTTGATGTGCAGTCATCCTCTTTTACTTGAAATATTCTATTGGTGAGATAAGATTCCAGTATACTATAGAAGCTATGAGGTAAGAGTGACTTGATCTTATAAAGTAAACCCTTGTGCCACACCCGGTCAAAGGCCTGTTGGACGTCAAGGAATGCCGAGGAGCAGTATTCCTTTCTCTCAAGACTATCGCTGATATATCTGCACACTCTGTGTATTTGTTCAACTGTACCATGTCCGGCTCTAAACCCGAATTGATGGTCTGGGGTTACGCTGTTTTCGTTCATAGCGTATGAAAGCCGTCGTAGTAGTATCTTCTCACATACTTTAGATAGGATAGGTAATAGGCTGATTGGTCTGTAGGATGCAACTTCATGTGGTGGTTTACCAGATTTGTGGATCATGATTACTTGAGAGACCTTCCACAGGGCAGGATAGTAGGCGACTCTAATGATACAATTGAACAGTGTAGTTAGATATACTATTGCCTTGCGCGGCAGTTCTGACAGGACTCTCTTATCAATAAGATCAAACCCTGGAGCTTTCTTGCTTTCTAATTGTCTGATGGTTCTTTTTACTTCGGCTGGTGTCGTGGCTTTTAGAGGAAGGTCAAGTTGAAAGGGTTGTTGAAGGGCATTATCTATGTCAGCTTCACTAGAACCAGGAGCAGCTTCATTGGGAACAAATACCTTAGCCAGGTGCAATGCGAAAGCTTTAGCTTTCTCTTGTTTGGTTCTTGCCCATTTGTTTGCTTCCAAACGGAGTGGAGGCTTTGGGTTTATTGGTTGATTCATGTGCTTGCACGCCTTCCACAGTGAGTAATCTGAGCCACTAGTAGCAGTTAACGATGACAGGAATGCCTCAAGTGATGTACTTTCCCCTTCTTTTATAGTCCGTTTCAGAATTTTACTATAATTGTTAAACGCTCTTTTATCGTCTTGGTGTCGACTAGTGTGCCATACTCTGCGCAACCGTCTTTTTTCCAGAATCATGTGTCTAATTTCAAGCGGAACAGGGTTCTGTCTCATGCTTCTATCAACCGTCACTTCTGTACTCTTCCAGCAAGCCATTTGGATCGAGGTTGTAAAGACCATAATTGCGTTATCAATTTCGTCTTCATCCTTGAGAGATATTTGTAGCTGTAAGGAATCTTCGACAAGGGCTCGAAATAATTCCCAGTCTGTCTTGTTACTATACAACCTCGGTTTTCTTTGCGTCTCTAACACATTAGCACTAACTGTTAGTATGACTGGAATGTGATTGGAATTTCCATCTAAGCAAGATTCAATGTGGTAGAAGTATCGAGAAAGACCTTTCATTATGAAAAAGTCCAGAACATCAGGTAGCTTGCTTGGATCGGACGGCCAGTGGGTAGGTTCCGGTGTGGCAATTGTTGTCAGAATGTTATTGTGAACACATTTTTTGAGTTCTCTGCCTCTAGTGGTAATCAGTCTTGATCCCCAATGTACATGCTTAGAGTTCCAGTCTCCTCCAGCTATGAAGCGTGGCCCAAGACTTTTGATGTATGTTGTGAACTGCTCTTCTGTGATCTTGTGTTTTGGAGGGCAATAGACTGATGAGACATTGAAATGACCATCTTTATCTTTGATGTTTACTGAGGTAGCTTGGATAAACTCTGTTTTATAAGGTGGTAATTCACAGTGTTCTATATTAGATTTGATTATAATAGCAGTACCCCCATGTGCCGTACCGTCTGGGTGGTTTGTTGTATATATGTTATAACTTCTTATATTTACGTGGCTACTGTTAGTAAAATGTGTTTCTGATATAAGAAGTATGTCAAGTTGGTGTGTCTTTAACAAAATTTCGACTTCATGTTTGTTGGGTGAGAGTCCGTTTGTGTTCCAGGTTGCTATTTTAATTTTACTTATTTTGAGGACAGTTTATTTACAAGTGTTGTCAAGAGCCCCAACATGGTGCTCATTTGTTGTAATATCACATCAATTTTTTCAGATTGTTTTATAAATATTTGTTCTATTCGGTCATATGTTGGATGTTGGTGAGGTTCTTGGTTAGGTCGTAGGTTGTGAGTCTTCATGGAGTCTTTTAGGGCTTCACTGTAACTTTTTGTTGCACTGTTGTTTTTGGTTGTGACACCTTTTCTTTCTTTATCTCTGTCGTTGGCAGCATTAATAGGCTGCGATTGAAGTTCGGTTCTCCTGGGCAATGTTCTTGTTAATGTTTTTCTTGTCAAAATTTCCTTATAGACTTCACAACCTTTGTAGTTTGCAGGATGTGGACCAAAGCATAGGGCGCATGTGGCCGGAGTGGAACGATCAATTTTGGGACAGTGTTTCGTAGCGTGAGATTCCGCGCATTTCAGACATCGATGTGGTCTCATGCAATAGTTTTTGGTGTGACCATACTGCTGGCACCTTTGACATTGTACAATAGTGTTTCTTTTCTTAGGGTCTTCTATGGTGACAATTTGGTGATAAATACATCTAACTTCCTTTGCAGCTTTGTTTTGAGGCCCAGGATGCAGGTTTACAAAGAACGTAGATGTTGGTTTTTTATCAGGTCCGTACCTTGCATTGATGATTTCACCAACCACAGTGTTTCCGGTTTCTTCAAAAGCAGTTTGTATTGCTTGATGCGGAGTTGTGTGGTGCAGATTTTTGATAACTAGTCTGCAGTTTCTATTTTCTTTTCTGTTGAAGGTATGGCCAATCAGACCCTTTTCTCGAACTGCTGCGATGAGCTTTTTATATGCTTCTATATCTTCACTCATGATCCTGATTTGAGTTTTGTTCACTACCTTGTATGTGAATGTTTCTCTTTTCGCTGCCGTTTCTAAGAATTCAGTCAGTTTATTAACATCTTCTACTCCATATAGTATAATAGGAGGAGGTTTATTGGGTTTCTTTTCTTTAGATTTTTCAGCTTCTTGGGTAAGGGGTAGTCCGCTAAACATGTTAGAGGTAGGAATGATTTCAGGAGACTCTGAATCACGTAACTTTCTCTTCTTCTTTTGATTGACTGGAACTTTCTGCCAGTCTGGCAAGCCAGTCCAGTTTTTGTCTTCTAGCGATACTTCGAGAGTCTTTACTTTATTTGAGCTAGGCTTGATACTTCTAGTTGAGGAACTTCTTTGTCTAGTGAACAGACTTGGGTGAAATGCTTGCTGCATATATTTTCTATAACCGAAAAATGCTTACCAAAGGTTAAAGTATGACCAAATTTCTAGGTTTTTCTTAAATGCCTATAATTTTCAAACTGCATGGGATTTTTTTTTTCTGATGATTCTTATGATGGTTACAATCAATCCTGTCACTCCGTTTCGTCCTGACGTTGAGTTCCGGGACACCTTGTATATACTAATACTGAAAAATTACTGCTTAAATTTACTCACCTTCAAAGTTTTTCTCAAGAAATACTACGCCCATGTCATTCGGGACGCTGTCGAAACCGCATGCGCTCACTACGTACACGCCGGCGTCACGTGCTTTTTTGTCGTATTCAATTTGCATCCTTTCTATGAACTGAAAATGTGATTCGTAGGCATTAGTTCGATATATCAAAATATCTGAAAACCAATATTATATCATATCCATAACTCAAACTATATCGCTCACTGAATAGTACAGTGGCACAACTCAAAAACCATAATTTCGAGAAAACGCCACATAATGTGGTGGCATCCCATAGATAATTTAAAGAAAAAATAAAAAACTTAACAGTAGGTAATAATATAATACAAACGATTTAACTGTTATTGTAAAAAATGTGATTTTCATAATAAATTATAAATATATTAGATTTTCATAACTTCAGAGAGCGTTTTTAGAAATTATGGTTTTTGAGTTGTGCCACTGTACTATTCAGTGAGCGATATATCGGTTTTCTCGTAATTCAGGTATAAATACAAAACACAAATCTACTCGTACAACACCGTATTTTATCTCGAAACATATTAGATTGATATTCGCCTCTTCTTTTAAATGCCGTAGGGCAAAAAACGATGAAGCTAATATCATATCTACTATCCAGCTATTAACGCTCGAATCTGGCAATATAAACTTTAATTTCAAAGCAATAAGTTCTATATTTTGCTATCGAGAGGATCCAAAATAGGTAAAAAAATATGTCTTTACATAAATATGTTTTTTAATTCTGTTTGCAATAAATTTTTGTACATATAGTGTATAATGGGGATGGGCCCCTCAGTCTACTTCAAAATCGTAGGAATAGCTGTAAGATAATTTCTCATTGACAGAAAACAGTTACCGTATTTTCACTCACCAGATGGCGCGACAATCGCGAGAGGTCCTGTCAGTTTGTTTACTACGAGATTGGACTTTAATAATACATCATAATACTTATATAAACTATTTTATTAAAAGTACCCAACGTGCCTGCCCAATAAACACTAACCTCTTTCAACGCGCTTAACTTTGTCCCAATTTTTTTAACCCCATTTTTAAAGCACTGACATTCACTGACCCGTAGTTTATAATTGCTTTAATAAATCTCCTGTACCCCTTATAAGCGCAAAATTCTTTTATTTGAAAGGAAACGAGCGTAGTTCACCGACAAAGCATGATATTTAGAAGTTTCACGCCACACTAGTGTCTCTAGTGGCAAATTCAAACGGGTTAGCTCTTATTATCGCTTTGCTATGCTATGACTTTGATATATGCGTTATATTTGATTTGGAAAATATTGATCAGTTGCATAAACCTCCATTATTTAAGACGACTTCGCTTTAATGGCTGTTCTGAATTTTCGAAAATTTTGTCGGTAAAAACTAATGACAATTTTAATGGACGTTTGTAATTGGGCGTAAAAGGAATATATTACATGAGGCTCCCCGCTGACATCCACATGATGTGCGCCGCTCTCTATTGCGGCTTTCACCACGGGCTCCCCGTACAGCCAGTACGGGCCGCAGCAGTTGACCACCACGCGGGCCTGAGCACACATCTCCTTCAGAGAGTTGTAGTCGCCACAATCAGCGATTATTATTTTCACATTAGTCAGGTTCGCATCTGGAAGAACACACAAGACCTTTGGAAGAGCTAACAAAAGATAAGATTATATAATGTCATCATCATCAGCCCCTTTACGTCCCCACTGCAGGGGCTCAGGCCTTTCTTACGGATGGTTAAGTGCCTTCCGAAGCACGGAGTAGCTCGTGATAATAATTTTCTGGTCTCCTATTCCGTAACAAATCCTTGGGAAAGTTGCTTAACAACAACGATCGCGGGCCGCGGCGCTTGTCCACTACACCAACGAGCTACTCCCAAACATAATAATATAGTTTTACGCAGTGAGAATTGAACTTACAAGGCTTGGAAGAATCTAGCTTCCTTTTTATTACTTTTTTTTTTATTCTAGATAGGCAAGCTTGACCATAGATCACTTTTGATACGCAGTAGCCGTTTCTATGACTTCTTCACCCTTCGATAAGACATGTTCTGGTGAAAGAGGTATCTTAACATACTCGGTTGCTTGGATATTGTTACGACATTAATTCCGCCTATGTACCTTGTACATGATGTGTTAAATAAATATTTATGAGATATAATAACGTTAAGTGACAAATTATGATGTAGGTACTTATTTGAATAAGTAAAGTATATAGCTTAGGTAGTATAGATACTCTAGTCTGTTCAAAGGTCAAGGAGACGATTTAATATGGAGATCTTGAGTGTAAATTAAAGTGTTGTGTTCAGATAAATTAAAACAAAAAAGTTAATAACTGACTAGTCAAACATGATGAGTCATATTCATCCGCCCTCAGATAAACAAAGAGGCCGTGGTCGTTTTAGCTGCTCGATTCCCCGCCCATCTAAAGATATGGCTCTACGATAAATACGTATCTAATAACCCATATTAAGAATCTTCAAGTCTAAGTTGTTTTGGTAAAAGAGATAATTCGCGTGTCAGTTTTTTGTGAGTAAGTACAAGAAAAATTAACGAAAAACTAAGCGTTTACGTAGCGGAAACACGTTTTTCAAGTAACCTTTGACTTATTGGAAGCAGTAGAACTAGACAGCCTTGAAAACGTAATACATATATGGTAAAAGCTTAATATTGTATTATATGGTAAACACATATTATTGCTTTGGCAAGGTGGCCTATTTGTTGTATAGTATTTTACAATAAACGAGTCCTTTACTTAATGGAGTTATCCATATATTAGATAAATGTAAATTTACAGAGTTAATATTAATGTCCCCCACTTTTTTATTTATTCAGTCTAGGCTGTTTCAAGCACATGTGAATGTCGAAAGCTACGCCTTCGGTTCGCAAATCGATAGCGGGAGACTTACATCTAATAATAGATAGATTTAATTTACATAATAAATCTAATATCTATGTTATGATTCCACATATATATTAGCATTGTAAATATAAATTTGATCAAATAGGTAAAATAGTCCATTATTATCTGAGAAATAATGTAAAAGTAACAGCATGTTTGCGATTAATAGATTCGGAGATGCGGTGCTGTGTTTGTGGAACAGCTGCTAGACGGCAGGAAACGCTCCATACAAATTCAAGGCACTAAGTGACGTTATACAGTGCTACGATAGCGAAAAACTTATGGGCGTCTGGGCATATATCTTTGTAATATATTTGTTATTTGTGAGTAGCTGTTTTAAGTTATTGTTAAATTAATGTAGTATATTTTTCTTACTTATTTCAAGCTTTCCAAGAGTAACATTTTGCTGATTAAATAAAAAAATAAAATAAAATATTACCAGTTTTCTTAGACACTTCTTGTAAAATTTGTTCCAGTTTGCTTTTTGACCGGCCTGCAACACCCCAGGTGACAGAGCCATCAGCAAACTCCTTCATGCCGCGGGCGAGATGTTCCACCGCATGTTTTCCAGTGAAGCCTGTAGCTCCAAAGATCACTAAGTCCAGTTTAGACATCTAAGTTAAAACAAATTACATTGTTACTGATTAAGATTATAAAACGTTATCTTCATTCAATGACGAAGTATTTAAAAATAAAAAGCACATACACTAGATGGCGACTCTAGCAAAATTGATTTTTGCAGATAATAAATGGACTAAAGATAGTCATTTCTGTTCCTTTTAATTAACATATTAAAAAACTGAAATTTGCAAAGTTCGAAACTTAGATATCAATACAAATACGAAAAAGTACAAATAGAAAGTTGTTTATTGAGTTTTGAAACCTAATTTACTATTATACACGAAAGAAAACCAGGAAGGTTATCATGGAGAAATCAAGAAAGTACCATAGCGACATCTAGTTCGATTTCAGAATTTTTTTTTTTTTATTATTCATTATAATAGTAATCTGAATTAGAATTAATCTATATTACTTCTTGCAAGCTATTTAATCACAACTAACTGTCAAGCATTTATTACTATGTTGTCATCTGAAGCATTATTTCTGAATTATATTTTCAAATACATATTTTATTTCCAAATTTCGTTTTTGCACTTAATAACTGAATTTCCGAATTCAAATTCTGAATTTAATTTCCAAATTTTATTAATGTATTTCAATTTTGAATATATTTACCAATTTCATTTAATTTTGAATTCCACTTCTGAAAAAGCCCATCTCTGATTATAGACAAGAATTAAAAATAAGGAAGTCACAGTAAGAAGAGTTACTTAAAGAAGTGGCAATACAAAGCAAAAAGAAAGTTTTCATTTTTACACATCCTTCCATTTCTGACCTATATGCACCAAACACTAGCAGTATGGAAACAAAGTATGAAGCAGAGTATATTGAATCAGACTGTTAGATAGGTGGTATGGAATCTCATGACTATAAGAGAAAATCAAAGGCAGAAGATGTAACTCACAGGTTTAAAAAACTCAAATGGCAATGAACAGGTTACCTGATAAGATCTAGAAAAGACAAATAGATAAAACAGCTAACAGAATAGTACCCATGATATGGTAAAAGACAATGAGGGAAACTAGAAAAAAGGAACAGAAGCGAATCATGAATCATTCATAACAGACAAGTGGAGGAATTTGGAGGAGGGTTATTCCTTAGAATAGCCATTTATTTTTGATAATAAAGGAAAAATGCATCTTATTGTTGAAATAAAAACCTTACTTCCATATAAATTAACTAAGCGTTAGTTTATTTAATACCACGTTCGTAAAATGTTTATTTAAAAAAAATAAAATGTTTTTCTGCCCCCAAGCACAATATCAATATTGTCAGTTTGCTTGCCAATATAAATATAAAAAGAATATTTATTAAACAAAAATAATGTTGAAGGGTGTTTGACTCAATAAGCTGTAAGAGAATTTTTTTTACTGGTAATTAAAACAAGGTAAATACAAAATGAATGCAATTTTATCAAGCTGAACCTAACTATTCATTTAGTTGATGTAGTATGCTGGTGATGAATATTTTTATCTGCCATAATTTGTATTTTAAACTGAACTTTTTTTACTTTAGAATTATATTTTTTATGAGATTATTCAATAAAAACAAGTGACATGGTAACAATCCCAAAAATATCATTCTAATCTAAAGGACAATGAAAGCTTAAAACAACATGTTACTTATTTCTGTATTACATATTCAATTGGGTATACTGTTTTAATGGAATAATGCAAACATTAAAGCAATATATATTCTAACAAGAGCTAGATTGTATTCTACAATTATTGAGATTTTTATGGTAAAGATTCAATCACCAGATTTTTTTTAGACTAAAGTTTTTAGATTAATTTATAATTATCTGATAAGATCATCATTATTTTAAATGTCACTCTAATACATGTGATAATTATATTCACCTTAATTATGTAATATTTCAAGAAGATCATGCAATATCTTATCAATTTTTTTGAAGAAAAACGTTTTTTAATGAAAATCATAATTTCATAATTCTGAAATGCTCTCAAGAACTTTTTATGGAGAGAAGATAACGTTAATTTTGTCTTCTCTAAAATAATATTATGATTTTTAATAATTGTAAGTAAAAAAAAAGTAAATGTAAGTAAATCAATGAATGGTTTATTATGGTAAAACACCGGCTCGGCCGGTTCTTTTTCCAAGCACCTACTTATCAGTTAATAGTGTTTTTGAATATATTACCTTCACCACGTATGTTTTCCCACAAAAGAAGAAATGTTACACATAAGACGGTAGAAGAGAAAACAGTTTTAAAGAAATGTTAAATCCTCCTCACTTTTATACTTTTAGTTATAACAAAAGGAATGACGCACGTAATAACGTATTACCTCATCAACTTAATATATATTCTCTATATATAAGCGTATATTCTTCACTAGATTTTTTTTTTATTTCAGTATGAGATTTGATTTTATAGTGTACTGACAAACTGTCATCATCGTTGTCAATATTGTCATGTCAATGTCAATTAATATTGGGCAAACTCTATCGATATATCCAAATATCGATATTTTTCTGAAAAAAAAAATCAATATAAATTAGCGATATTTTTTCCCACCATATATCGGCTTTCGATATTTATTTCCAGATATCAACTTCGTATCAAAATCGATATATTTTTTAAAGTTCTGCTGTCTGCTCATACGTCGCATCATGTATTTCTTAAATTTAAAAAGAGTAGGTAGGTAGTAGGCTATTTGAGTTTAGAAATAAAAGTCTTTGACCTGCACGTGTAGCATGTCAAACTCGAGAAATGCTTTGTCTACACCCAAATGTCACTTTCTTGATTTGAGAGTGAGATGTTGTATGAGCGTACCCGATAAAAATGACATTTGGGTGTAGACAAAACTTTATCGAGTTCGTAATGCTACACGTGCTGCTTGTCTTTTTTGTTTCTTTATAACAATGACACTGCTTGTTGGTTTAGTTAGTATCACTGACAGTGCTCCTGATGTTAATATCAGACAAATTCTGATTTGTTTGACAATGTAATTTTTTTGTGTTGATGTGTTGTTTCCTTGGCTTTATGTACCTATTTTAAAAAACAAAACAGCCAGGTGTTTATTTGCTTTAAAAATAATTTGGCAATTTTTATAGATAATCGCTTATTATGCAGAAAATATCGATATATCAATATATTTTTGACATTATTTATCGATTCATTAGAAAAATATCGATACGATATATGTCGACATTTTTTTACCACTTGTTCATCCCTAATGTCAATCAATAGAGGTGGGTAGATTCACACGGATGTTTTATCCAATAGTGCTCAATTGCTATTGACAGATGTCGCGACGTTTCAATTTCTAATGAGGAGTATATAAAAAAAACATTAGTTCCCGAAATCAAACTAGATGTCGCTATTGTACGTTCTTGATTCCTCCATGAAAACCCTTCCGGTTTTTTTTTAAGCTTAAAAGTAAATTAGTTTTCAAAACTGAATAAACAACTCATTTGAATAAACAACTCATTCTATTTGTTCTTTTTCGTATTTGTATTGATATCTTAGTTTCAAACTTTACAAATTACAGTTTTTTTAAATGTTAGTTAAAAGGAACGGAAATGGCTGTCTTTGGTCCATTCGTTTCTTGCAAAAATCAACTTTTGCTAGAGTCGCCATCGTTTTTTTTAATACTTCCTCATCATTGTCTGGCATAAGTCATAACAGCGTACAGACCATACTGTTAGGGCGTTTGTGCACTACATTAAATTTTCAGGTCAGCCAGTTCGACTTTTTTTCGGTCCGATATGTCAGGCCATATGTAGGTAATGCTAGCCTGTGCACTGTCCGGAATTCTACGATCCGGAATTTTACTTTTCTGTATTCTGGACCGTTTTTTTCCGGTCCGAGATGGCGGCAATGAAAAACGTGTTTACGCTTGTGCACTGCTCACAGATTAAGGATAATTACTTTCCTAAATCAAACTAGATGTCACTACGGTATTTTCTTGATTTTTGTGAATTAAAGCAAATCAATTTTCAAAACTCAATAAACAACTTATATTGTATTTGTACTTTTTCGTTTTTTCAAGGACCTGCGACCCATAAGTATTCTTCCAGTATGTATGTCGAAGATCATGGAAAAGGTGGTATGTAGGCAGGTGGCGGACTATCTGCACAAAAATAATATTTTACCGCAGAACCAATCTGGCTTCCGCGCTGGTCATGGAACCGCTACAGCTTTGCTGAACGTAGTCGATGATGTGTTGACGGAGCAAGATGTAGGTAATGGGACTATTTTGGTCCTATTAGATTTTTCCCGCGCATTTGACACATTAAACCATAGTCTACTCTTGGCAAAGTTATCGTTTTACGGTTTTGACAATAATGCATTGAAATGGTTTTCGAGCTACCTAAAGGGACGATCACAACCTGTTGAGATCTTGAACCCCACTACTGGTGCGAAGACATTTTCTGATGCCGCTCCTCTTGTTCAAGGTGTGCCTCAGGGATCAGTGCTGGGTTCAGTTCTTTTTCTTTTATACAGTGCAGATTTAATAAAATGTATTGAGAACTGTAGGTATCATATGTACGCGGATGATCTGCAACTATATTTATCTTTTGAGCCAAATAATACATTTACTGCTGTACGTAAAATTAATGAAGATTTAAAGCGAATCCATGAATGGGCTGATAAGAACTGCTTAGTATTAAATCCGCTAAAGTCAAAATGTATTGTTTTAGGCTCAAAGACTCAAGTTGTTAGCATTAACGTTAACAATTTTGAGGTTAAAATGCATGAGACAACTATAGAGCAAGTTGCAGAGGTCCGAAATTTAGGAGTGTTAATGGACAGCAGACTTACATTTCACAATCACGTTGCTGAAATAGTGAAAAACTACTTCTATCGACTTAAGGTTTTATACGGAGTGCGTGAGTTCCTTCAAACTGACCTGAGGATCCAGCTTTGTGAGACCTTAGTAATCTCTAAGCTTAATTATGCAGATACAGTGATCGGGGGATGTCTACTTGGATACACCAGGAAGCTTATTCAGCGTGTACAGAACGCATGTGCCCGTTTCTGCTTCTCTATCCCACGAAGAGCACATGTTAAACCTTATCTCAACAGGGGTAACCTCATGAACATGGAGACTAGGCGTGCATTTCATTTTGCGTGCTTACTGTTTGGTATTATTCAGGGACGGTCACCGGTATACTTGTATGACAAGCTTAATTTCTCTTGTCGTGCAGTCAGGAATGCTACTCGTCTTTTATATCAACGACATAACACAGCCGCATTTCGTGGCAGCTTTCGTTACGCTGCCACGAAATGTTGGAATAACATTCCTCCACCTTTTAAACAATTTCGTGCCATCAAAACATTTAAAATTAAATTAAGAGAACATCTTCTTGATTTACAAAAGCTGATTTGAGTGTTGTGTTGTGTAATTTATATACAAATTTATTATTTAAATCGCATTCTCTATAATATTCTATTTTATGCATGGTTTATATAATACTTATTTACGTATCTAATTTAAATATTTGGGATGACTATTTCATGTAAATATTTATGTATGGTGCATAGTAGTGACTTCTCCTCTCCTCATCTGGTGTCCATGGAAGATCAGCGTCGAGGTATCTTAATGACATCTCGGCACTATGCTGAATGGATACCTTTTTAGAGCCACGATGTGTGTTTATGTATTCACTCAATTTGATATTTCTGTATTGTGTGGTTGCTAAATAAATGAATTATTATTATTATTGTTTTTATTGATATCTAAGTTTCGAACTTTGCAAATTTCAGTGTTTTAATATGTTAATTAAAAGGAACGGAAATGAATATTTTTGGTTCATTCGTTTCCTGCAAAAATCATCTTTTGCTAGAGTCGCCATCTAGTGCGGTGCATTTTTAGGCCTTTCTTTTTTTTATTAAAATACTTTTTCATTACAATAAGTCAGTTTTCCTTTTTAACCTACTAGGCTAAAGCAAGGAAAGACGTTTTTATGTATGTTTTCTATCTAATAATATTTTACTGGGTGGATCAATTTTAATGATTATTTTTATTATAATATATTCGTTTGCTGGTGCTTGAAACGTGGTCCCCTAGATATTAAATAGTAATTTGCTTTATATCAAAATAACTGGAAAAATTTAGACGATCTAAATTACATATTTTGATGATGATGATATTTATGAGGAATATGAGCGGACTCTTTGTAAATTTGAAAAACTTAAATTAGCCTAAGGTGCATTCCGAATGAAAATAAAATTACATTTTTTTTTCAATACGCTAATATCGACTACAAAAATATGTAATTGAAAATCTAAATCATAAAAAGCTGTTTAAATAAATGCAGTATGGCCATAAAAATTTCACCCGAACTGAGATGAAGTTTCTTAAATTTGTTAACCGTTTTTTTAGTTAGTAAGTTTTTTTTTATGATTTAAAATAATTGCCAATAAATGTTTGTAAAATAAAAATACTTCACTGAAAATAGGTTAATTAATTTATTGATAAAATAGTAGGTACTAACTTAATGATAAGGAATGTACACACAAACCAACTTAACACGCATGTATATACATATAGAGTGATTTAGATTTAAATTATCTGTACACAGTTAATTACATTATAGTACCTTTAAAATAAATTAGAAAAAATGAGCTTTGGTCTAAAAAAATAAAAGAATTTTTATATAAAATAAAAAAAATACAAATCAAAATTCTTAATTATATATCGCGAAAACACTGTATTAGCACACTGGTATGATAAGTAGTATAATACTATACTAGTTAGCAAGTGGTACTCTAATTTCTGCACTAATATTTACAGCTAATTATATTTTTATTTATGTATGTGGCGTATGAATTTCGAACATCACGACCGTCAAAAGATGGCGCCAGTAGTCGTACGTAGTACAAATCTACACTGAAGTTCCCTTTTTGGGTTGCATGGTGGGTTACCACCATGGCCACAGAAGTAGCAGGTCGACGTGGTTACAACCTGTCCAGAATCCCTGAAGTCACTTTCCATTAAAAACTTCTTTGTGTGAAATGAAAACATGGAGAAAAAAGGAGCCTTTGCTGAGATGCCGGTTCTTCTAAGTCTCCCGTAGTAATTTTGCAAACCGATGACGTAGTATTCGACGTTCACAAGTGTTATATATAAGCCTATACTGCATAAACGAACTTGATTTGATGCATCACCTATGAGTTTGCGTGGGGCAGTAAAAGCTACTATTCTTTGTCTCGTCACAGATACACATAAACTGTCTCGTCAATACTTGTAACGGTATCTTCATTTTTATTTACGATTATTGGCTAGTTCCCTTAATGTTTCAGTCTCTACAAAGAAAGGGTTATTAGTGAACTGACTTTCATAGAAATCTAGAAGTTGCGCTGTTGCCAACTTTGGCAAGCCATGTAGTATTTAACATGTCCACTGGGTATCGTAATAAACACTTAGCGAATAATATCGAAAAATTTGTCCTAGATTGCTACCACAGGTTTAAAGGTAAACAATTTTATCCCCGTTTGCTAGGTAATTGTTTCCTTTGGCCTTGTTTAACTTGAAATGTTGCCAAAAAGGAAATGGTGGGTCGCATCATAACAAGAACCCGTAAATTATGGGCTTAAGCTGTGTTATTGGTCCTGCAGATAGATCTGGATAGCTAAACTCTCGACGGTGATTTAAGGGCTTATTTGGTCGTATTAAAAATAATATTTTATTGACAATGACAAGACAGACGGCGAACGACTATTTCAAAAAAAATATTTTTCGTTAATAACATAATAGTATGCAGCCAAATCTGAGAGCAGCACCATAACAAAAAATATATATTTCATAAAAATATATTGTGTATAAGGACCTATGTTATCATACCTAGAATCTCACAGGTTGTTTATAAAAATTGGAACTGATAACATTTATCTTTTAATTTATAGATAACTTAGGTAAGATATCTTTTAGTAACAGTAGAATCTAACCTAATTTCGTTTGTCTAAAGGTCGATATTTCAATGTTCAGATAAAAGATATTAACTTGATAAACTATTACAAAAACAATTGAAAACATAAGATCTTTAAAAAAGATAGGAAAACACGTCGCTATCTTTCAAAATAGCTAATAATATACAAATAACGTATTGGCCCGAGAAATTAAATGGTACATTTATCTAATCTGCCATGTATTATGCCACAACATCAGTTTTAATTAAGTTTATTAAATTAAAATTTACCATGACTAAATAACAAAGTATTAATTTTGTCTTAGAGTTTCAGAGAGAAATTAGGAATGACTCATCTCTCTGTAACCTAAAAATTGTTATATATAATAATGAAGTGGTCAGAATGCTTTTAGGCAAATGGCGTAATAAAGCTTATTGTCCTAAACTAGGCTTATACATAGTGCATTAGATGCTTTTCTGTTTAAATTATAATCTTTTTTAAAGACTTTGGCAAGGATTTGTTCTGTTACAAATTCTGATCAGCAAATAATTTGAAAATTCTAAAGAAATACTTAAAATAAGTAATATCTAGTAAATTATCAGAAAAGTTGTAGCAACAAATTTTTGTTTAACTCTTTTTACAGTTTTAAAACATAATGTAACCCTGTATAAAGTTGTTAAAAAGAAAAGCATCCAAAGCACAATTTAATTAACTTCGACAACTTTTTTTTTTACATAAAATATAGCCCGGACACTTATTTTACAGTTTGTACTGTTCACTTCAAGCACTAGTGTCGTAACTTCACGCAATCACTATTAGAAATTGTCTATGGCTTAACTAGACTCTCGACTATTTTCATTGGAGCCGTTAGGCTGTGGAGTAGGGGAGGTGACGTCAGGGGCGGCGATTAGGCCCTCCTTGATTCTCTTCTTTTGTTTCATTCGCCTATTCTGAAACCAAATTTTAACTTGCGTCTCGTTCAGTTGTAGGGCGGAGGCTATTTCTATCCTTCTCGCTCTGGTGAGGTATTTATTGAAATGGAATTCTTTTTCGAGTTCGGTGAGTTGTTTGTTGGTGAAGTTTGTGCGGCCTGTGTTGTTGAGGTTGAGTAGAGGGTTGGACAGCATTTGGCTGCCGGTGGGTGTTCGTAGACCCTCCTGAGGACTACCCAGGACACCTTGGTTGACGAATTCCGCAGGTGGTATCATCAGTTTTGGTGCTGAAATGAGAAATAATAAAACTGTTAGTTATTTGATTGTATTTTTCTTACTGTTATTTGGATATCCGCGATATTTACTTAACTAGAAAATAATTATAATATGAAATAAAGATTGAAATTTAAGTGTATTTTATTTTTTCCGAACATCACGCACGTAAATAAAACATTAATTATTGATTTGATAAAAACTAATATTGATGATGTTGACATTATATAATAGCACATTTGCGAACAAAGTTCTCATACAAAGTTTGTGTACACAAACGTCTCATTGCTCGCGGATTACCTTTTCAAATTAAACAAAAATCCGTGGGAGCCTCACGGGGTCCATTTATGACAGGTGTCAATTTTTTTCTAAAGAAAAAAGAGCAAGACAAAAGATATTTCAATATTGGCCTTACGGCGGCACCCTGCTGCGGAGAGTGGCTTGACGCAGAACTCGGAAACATAACGAAATTGACGCGATCGTGCTTACGTTATACATCGGCGATTTGCTTTTGAATTCTCTTTGTAGTGTTGTACGTATGATGCGATGTAAATTGAGTTTTAGGAATCAACCTGTTGGCTCTCAAGTGTCGTGTTGAGCACGTTAGTCAAACTACTTTATATGATTTTTGACGTTTATTATTGTTGACCGCGCGTTTTATGGGTATTATCTAATTGTGTGTGTGTGTGTGTGAGTATGCACGGAGTAAGGATTTTTGTTCTCAAATGCTAATATTGAACGAGTCGTTCTCGGAATACGAGTTTTTGATCAAACATCTTGTTGGTGGACTCTTGACTTGGATAAATATCTATTTGTAGGTAAATGATGGTTGAGCTTAAAAATTCATTTCTAATCATACCTACAAAAAAGTAAGTATTCTATTCTACTAGTGCAGGCATCGCTTGTAGATACTAGTTAATTGGATTGCAAAATGTTGCTACTGTATTTTTTTGTTTTTCAATTTTCTAAAAACTTGGACTTACTCTTTTGGATTTACAGGTTGGATTATTTGTTGCCTTTTAAAATGGAGATGTATATAGGTAAGCGTTGAACATTTATTTTAGAACAGTCTCAACCTTTTTAATTATTATCATATAGTGTATAGTCTGTGAAAGGGGAAGGAAACAAAAATAATGGAAACAGCTTAGATCAAATTTCGCATAAAATTTTTAAACTGGTTCTGTTTTTGAAATTTTGCCGGCATATAAGACACATTGTCTTTTTGCAGACATGATTCTACTTTCTAAATCATTAAAATGTAACATGTCATCGATATCCAATAAATTCTGTATCAGCCAGACAGTTGTATCAGTCAACCCTTCCGTCGTGGCGACAGCTCTAATTGAGTGAGGGTTGAAGTCGGGTCATTAGGACCGGACGTGTCCGCTATATCTGTCACAGATGTTACACGTGTTATTAGATCGTTAATTTGTTGAGCTCAGTCTTATTAACTAGCCCTGCGAACTGCGTACAGTATAAGAATTAATCAATCTATTGCTCAGTCACGTCGAGCTTTCTTTGTTCTGTATAGAGGTTAAATTAAATGACACCAATTTCGAAAGTAAAAAAAGGTTTTATTTCAACGAACCTCTATACTATACAAACTATAACTAACTATAACACGCTAATTTTATAACAGAAAAGTAGTACTGTCATCGCGCAAATATTTGTAGAATCCCAACTGCATATCATATTGACCTAATTCGTTTAAGTCTTTTACTTGTAAAAAAATTAGGTCTATTCTAATTATTCTCTTACAGAAATCGTCATAGGATTTATTGTTATATGATTATTATCAATAATTTTATTTATAGTATTTAAATATTTCAAAATACTGTAATAGAGGAGCGTAGTAATTAGTAAGTATTAGTAAATTATATTCTAATACTTGCATTTTACGACGTTTTTCTATTAAAAACATAATACACGAATGGTGTATCGTTAACTGATGAAATTGAAGCTAAGGAAGCTTAAAACAAATAATTTGGTCCATTACTGGCCCCCGACTCCGGTCAACCCGTCCGTCGCCGGCAGATCAAACAACGCCGGCTGTTTGCGCTAACGTATTTGCGCAATGCCCACTCTGAACTAGGATCAACTATACGTGTGCGAGTTTCCATTATAACACGACTATGATTACGGTTGGACTTAGCTGTGTAGATATATAAATTACAGATTAAGCTTATTATTTGCGTTTTAAGAAATAAAAAATGGTCTAAATTATAACAGTGACACGGACATGTTTCTCGTATGATTTCCATTCCCAATTTTTTTTTTGTTCTATAGTGAAAACCGCGTCGGAATTAATAGATTAGATAATGACACAAATAGAGACAGAAACGTAATATTTTATATGAAGAGCGTCAAAAAATATTTTTTAATTAATTTGGTGTACTCCCAAACCTCTGCGAGCATTCTAAAATGATAGAATCATGATTTTCATTGCAAAAAAGAATATAATTACGAGGAAAAATAGATTATAATCAATTTTAGAATATAACTTAATTACCGGTTAAGTTTTTATGATTTTTTAAATTTAAACTTTTTAATGATATCGAAACCGGCTAGATACAAATGGTAAAGCCAAAAAGAGTTTTATTACAGGTTTATGCATACTATATGCGAAAAGACTTTTGCCCCAACCAGCATTTGCCCCAATATCAGATTACAAAGTAACATCATTCCTAAAAGCCAATATTTTCTCAGTAAATCTGGTAGTGATTTTTTATCAAGTTGCCAACCATCGGATTTGTATTTTTAACAATAATTAACTCCTCATCTGTTGTAGAGAATTGCTTAATATTATTTAAGTGTGCCCCAGATTTATTAATATTGTTCAAAATGAAATTAATCTGAGCTTCAATCACTTCGCTATCTAAGTCAATTTCGAGAAAATCATTGATATCAAATGACAAAGTACCTTGACAAAGTGTCAGCTAAATATAATTCTTTACTACGTTTATAAATTAAATCAAGGTTATATTTTTGTATCTTAAGTTAAATTCGCTGTATACGTGCACTAAATGCATTTATCGGTTTTTTAACAATAACTATTAAAAGAGAATGGTCTGATTCAATTGTTATTTTTCTGCCAAATATGAATTCATTGAACTTTTCACAAACAAATAAAATAGCAAGACGCTCTTTTTCAATTTGAGCGTAACTTTTTTGACATTCGTTTAAAGTTGTAAAAGCATATGCAACAAGAAGGTTATTTTGTAGTAAAACTGCTCCAAGAACATCCTTCGACGCATCTACGCCGTAAAGTAGTAATTACGTAAAGTAGAACAGAAAGATCCTCATTAAAAAATTGAAGTACTGGCTCTGAAATAAGCGTGTGCTTTAAGTTTTGGAAAGCTATTTCATGAATATTTATCTAGTCAATATTATTATTTTTCTTCAGAAGGTTTCTTAAGCGAGAGCTTACATCACAAATATTAGAATTAAATTTGAAAACATCATTTACAACACCTTAAAACCATTCTAGCTTCTTCCTATCTTGAGGATTTTTCGTTGCGATAATTGACCTGACTTTTTCTTCACCCAACTTCAACCCCACTATACTTAATTTAACATTTTTTGTCTTAATCAGTCTAAAACTAAACGCAACCGTTTGTCTCGTTGTGATTGATTTTTCTTCAAATTAAAGTGTCGTCAATAATAACTACAGTCCCTTCTAAATTCTCTAACATATTCGCAATCTTTGTTGAAAAACTTCAGAAGCATTGCACAAACAAAATGGCATTCTCAAAAATTTATACATATCAAATGATGTATTGAAACTTTTTTTTTGTATTGAAATTATTTTTGACATCTAACGTGCTTAAAATAGCTGAACCTATTAACTTTCTTGTAATTTCCTCAAATGTTGGCAAGATAAAATATTGCTTCATAATAACTCGAATAAGATCTTTAGGATCTCTACATAATCTCAGATCACCATTCGGTTTTAAACAATTGCTAATTAAATCAGATTCCCTTTTGGAGCGTAGGTTCGTAGCCTATCGACTGCATCGTGTTAAAATTATTTAGAAATTTACCATAAATAAAGCCACTGAGTTTTGAATTTAAATTTGACAGAGACTGTCAAGTGACATATATATTTTTTTTCAAACACAAATCTATACTAAAGAGTTATAATGCAACAATTATAATTTATTATTTCATTTACCGTCAATTTGAAATTGGACACCGATGCCTTTTTAAACTTAGTAGGCACAGAGAATGACCGAGATGGAGAGGGAAGCGGAATCGAATCGTGTTACAACGGACGCAATCGATTTCATACATTTGTTAATACAAGGAACGGAACTATTAATCATTAGTAAACAACCAGTATCGCTACCGAAAACTATACGAACTTCAAGTGCAAGCCTTCAAACGTTCGACAGATCTAAGAGGATTGCTTTGTCCAATCCTAGACGAGTTCTAAATGGCTTGAAATCCGGAACACGACGATCGTATATTATAGTTTATATGTGTTTGTGGTACATGAGTGGTACACGGTACACGAGTATACATAGCGCGGGGTGAGACGAGCTATTAGCTATTATTATTTCGGCTTAATTTTTACTACACAGTGATGTCGTGTTACCGTGGAAACAGCATATTCTTCAAAGCGATGCGGTCGGCATGCGTGCACGCAGCCGCCTACAATAATGTTGACTGTGATGCTTAAACCAAATACAAATCTAATATTCTCACACTAATCTCGACACACATTGGTGTGTTTCAAATTTATCTATTATTGATAAATTGTAAAGCAATTTTCATTAAGAATATTTTTCAATCGTCGTCATGAAAGTGTTATACATATTGTCACTGAAAAGCAGAGAAGGATTATTTTTAGAAAGAAGTATTTTTTTTAAAATAAAAAATGTTGTATGAAAAAGTTTTTTATTTACAATTATTTTATTGTAACATGTATATATTTTGGATTTTTATTATTTTTTATTTGGTAACATTGGTAACTTATTTTTTAAGTATATAAGAATATTTTTAAAAATGTAATAAT